GTGTGAAGTGGGTATATTAAGGATAATAATGAGCTAAATCTGCTTTGCTTTGGTGTGGGGGTTTCTTTGTTTTGTTTTTTTGTGGGGTTTTTATTTGGTTTCATTTTGTTTTTATTATTACTATTTTGGGGTAATTCTTACATATACATTTGTTTTAAATAAATAAAAAAGATTCCCGAGAGAAACTTTCCATTACAACTATTCCAGACTTCTCTGGTCACAGAAGTATTGTGGTTTTTTTTGGATTACTGAACAGATCTTCTTTGGATTAGAAATTAAAACTTAAATAAAAGACTAGCAGTTAATCAGTATAACTGAGTGGAAAAGATATACGCTCTTCTCTCAGAGCTGCCAAATCAGGTCAAACCCCAGGTTTTGAGACAGTAACGAGTTCTTGAGTGTGTGTTTCCATGGGCTTTTAGAAATGGTAGGATGTAATTCTCTTCTGGGGTCAGGGGCTCTATAGGTCCTCTCCCAAGTGCTCTTCAGCAGAATCACAGATTGGTTTGGGTTGGGATGGACCTTAAAGTTCATCTCATTCCAACCCCCTGCTGTGGGCAGGGACACCTTCCACTTATCCCAGGTTGCTCCAAGCTCTGTCCAACCTGGCCTTGAACACTTCAGGGGTGGGGCAGCCACAGCTTCTCTGGGCAACCTGTGCTGGGGCCTCCCCACCCTCACAGGGAAGAATTTCTTCCTAATACCTTATCTAACCCTGCTCTCTGTCAGTTTAAAACCATTGCCCCTTGTCCTGTTTATTATATACATTTGATATTTGCTTAAAGGTTGCTTACTAAACCTCTTTGTTGAAATACAAAGGACCATTTCTGTGGGATATGTTTTAACTTTACAGTCTCTGCTGTAGCCAGTTCTCAGCTCAGAAATATGCTGTGACTTATATTTCATGTTCTTCCTCCACTGATGATTTTTGATTGTCCCCATCTGATTTTCATCAACTGAAGCAGGGATTTGGCCAGCATTACTGACATAGCAAATGCTCCTAACGGGGTACTGATGTACTGCTGTGCTCTCCCTCTCACCTCTCACAACTCAGGGTGCTGTAGAGCTGCTTTGGGTCTGTCCTGGGATGGCCATCGTTCTGAGGGATTTGTTTCCCATCCTGCCCATGAGGCCAGTGTCTTAATTTCTGTCCCCAAATCCCTGGGCTGTGTTGCACAGAGGAGGTCTGGCTCAGGCACAGAGCTCTCCACCCCTGAGGCAGTGAGGCAGTGTGGCTCCCAGACAGAAACCCAAGCCTCATTCCTCCTCAGGACATCTCCAGAGAACCCAAGGGCAGCTTTATCCCCCCTTACAGTACAGTGATGTTGATGAAGGGTAAATGCTGGTAGTTTAAAATTAGATTTCCCCTTTGAAAAGCTCCTCCATGTGGTGTTTCCAGGACTCATTGATGGTCTGTGTCAGGGTTTAATGACTGGCTGAGTCAGTTTCTGGTGAATTTTCATGTGTTACACCATCAGTGCTTCTGTTCTGCAGGGACGGTCAGCCCTCTCTCCTTCATCAGTCTGTGGCCTGATGGCTCTGATGGCATGGGAAACTACTTGGTGTAGAGGCAGCTGTGCCTCCAACCAGGCTAGCAGTGGGATGTGATCCAGGTCCAGAGGGATGTGGCAGAAGCCCCACTGGGCACAGTGACCACTCCCCTCAGCTGTGGTCAGTGAGGGTCAAGAGTCACGTCAGTGACCATTTCTGCTCAGGGTCTGGTAGGAGCAGAAGTGGCCATTGATAGGAGCTGCTTTGATGGGGGGGATTTCCAGCAGCAAACCTCCTGACTCTTCTCCCTCTCAGCATCCAGACCACAGGACTTTTCTCATCAGTCTTGGCATCAAAGGATGCTTGGGCCCCAGGGCACTAATGCAGAGCTGGGGTTGGGTGCAGTTCCTTGGAGTCTCCCACAGAAGGACACAAGTTCCATTCAAGGGGTAGGCTTTGGTTTTTTTAATAAGAGTAGGTGTTTTGTGCAACCTGCCTTCTAGTCTGTCTTTCCAGTGGTCCTACACTGAGGATCTGCCCTTGAAGGGATGTTAAGAAGTCCTTTTCCTTTCCCTGAGCATTCCTAGCAGGATTTTGTACGTGCCTCTTTATCATGCAAGATGCGTGCTGCTTTGATTAATTCTTTTGCATTTGATTATTCAGTGCTGCACATAAACAGATGTGCACAGAGAGAAGTGCCCCCTGTTAATCAGGAGCTGCTGAGCCATATGGCAACATGGAGTGTCACAGCTCTGGGATGAGCACCTCCTGCTCAGCAGCCAGGTTCACAGGCAGCGAGTACCATGTTAATATATTCCTGCCATCAGATCCTTCATCCCAGGCTGCCTGAGTGACAGCGTGGATTTCTGGAGCCTTCCTACTTTCCTGAGGTCTTGTTTTTTTGTTAAATCACTGCTGAGAACCCCTCTTCATGTTTACTAAGCTCATAGAGGCAGAGATGAAAAAGCAGAGGGTGCTGAGCTGTCTGCACTGCTCTCAGATACTGCACGCAGAGCAAGGTGCAGTTGGCTCTGTTTTGTGTGCAGTGGTATTTCTTAGTCTTGTGCCCAGTTTTTTTTTAGTGACCCATCTCTTGGAGAGACACGAGAGTAGGAAATAATGTATGGTAAGCCCTCAGATAATTAATTAAGTTTCCACAACACTGGGAATTGTAACTGCGAGTGTTAGAGACCCTGGATGGTTGTAAAACCAAGAAAAAACTTCTAGGAAGTGTCATTGTTTTGGTTATTGTAAAAAATCAGTGTTACTGCCAAGGTGGATCTTACTGCCTTCTTTATGGCTGGCACCCTGATCTTTAGCTCTGTGCCCCAGTAATGAATAGACTCAAAGAATGGTTTGGATTGGAAGGGACCTTAAAGCTCATCCAGTCCCACCTCCTGCCATGGGCAGGGACACCTTCCACTAGACCATGTTGCTCCAAGCCCAGTCCAACCTGGCCTTGGACACTTCCAGGGATGGGGCAGCCACAGCTTCTCTGGGCAACCTGTGCCAGGGCAAGAATTTCTTCCTAATATCCAACCTAAATCTACCCTCTTCCAACTTAAAGCCAGTAAGCCACTGATGAGTCCGAAAGGTTTCATCTGTCAGGTACAGCGTTGTGACCGACACACAGCGATGTTGTGAGTGCCCCAGACCAGGCTGACAGCGGGCACAAATAACCAGTAAATGAGAGTTTTCCTGCACTGTTTGCCATGATGAGTTAGTTTGTGTCTAGGTAGTCCACAGTGTATCAGAACTGAAAACAAATTCAAAAGGTCAATTTGCTTTTTGTTTTGGATGGTATTTTAACAGACTTGAGGTATGTAAAGGTGGTTCTTGCCCGGGGCAGCCTGAGATCTGTGACACTTTAATGTGATACTCAACTATCATAACTTTCATCTATAGATTGAAACTGCCTGGTATTAGAAATTTCATTTAAAATGAAGATGATATGAGCTCTGTAGCGTTAGTTTTTTAACACACTTAGCAATTGTACGATCATGGAAATAGGTATGCTTGAGCAGAGTTTAAAAGTGACTACACAGAATATTGCCTTTAGTAGGTGCCATATTATGCCCAAATAGGTACTCCTTTCCCCTAAGAAGAGCGGGCAGCCTGTCCTTAAGGAAGAAGGGGATTTCTGCAGCCCTGCCTTCTCTCAGCAGAGCTTGCAGGGCTGCTCACTCACCTAGGGCTCCCAGTGCCGAGGTGTCAGGCACCTCCAGGTGATTTCTTCTCATTTCTGCTCCCTGCATTTATTCCTTCCAAAGCACAGATCTCTCTCTCTCCTGAGAAGAGCCTTTTAGCAGTGGGTGTTTTTCCCCTGAAGTGCATTTATATTTTTGAGATGGTATTTTTGACCTTAAACTGCATTTTAAACTTCTTTGAGATTCAGAGTGCTTTGCATATAGTTAATGGGAGTCTCTGTGATGCACTTTATCAGCTGGCAGTCAAAATTGTGAACAGCTTTTCTGGTGGATCATAGTTCTTTGATCCTGTGATTTGAGACTTTAAGCATAGGATAAACCATCTTTTCACTGGTAGAAAAACTCAGTGGCAGAAAACCAAAACATCACGAAGGGAGCTGATGTTTGAAGTGTGGTGTTGGAGCCAAGGAAGTACAGATGCATTCCAAGGCTTACTAAGACAAAAAGGCCACATTACTGCTTTGTCCTGGTGGGATGTGCAGTTCTTTGTTGAGTGATCTGTACCAGAACAGTTTGTGTTCAGAGAGTGTCGTTTCATGTGTCAGCAAAGCTGGAGCTGAGAAGTGACACTGAAGTAGGACCACGCCTTGTTGTGATTCCACAGGTTGTGATGATGGGACTTGGTCCTGGTGTGCTGGAGAGCAGAGGCCATAGAAGCACTAAAATCCTGTGCCAAGGCTCTGCTTTTACTAGAAAGGGCACAGTGTTCAAAACCTCTTAATCTGTTGCATGGTTTTTTAGTTTTTTTCTTATTTTTTAACAGATGTGAGTTTTCCCAGGTTTTCCTGCTTTATATTCTAGCAGCACACAAAACTGGGAGCTGGAAATGCACTTGCTGTGAAAGCCCCACTTGACTCTGGAGCACAGGCTCCTCGGTGTGTTTGGGTGGAACATACTTAATACCAGGCTGTAGGCACGTGCGGCAAGGTTCAGGCTTGGAATGTGGCACCTACCTGACATCCCAGTTTGTACAGAGATCACATCATGCCAGAATTTCTCCTTCTTGGCATCTCTGTGCTTTATAAAGTACCAGAACTGCGTGGTTATAGAACAGTCAGACCCCAGTTGTACCTGTGCTGGTAGCTGGTCAAGGGAAACTCTTTGCCCACTTCATTCCCCAGAGGGTCCCTGTCAGAGCACGGACACCTGTTTGCAAGGACTGGACCGTCACAACCTGGGTCTCTGGGAGAGCAGTGGGCAGTTCCACCCTACCAGTGCCAGTGTGGGAATGCACCAATGCACAGTCCCACAGGGATCCATCTCTGCTGTGCTCGGGGTAACTGTGCCTGTGCTTCCCTCTAGGAGGACTTCCGGAATAAAGTTGAAGATTACATTAAGCGCTACGCGAGATGATGAAGGGAGAAGGATGGCAGGATCACGGCTTCCACACTAGAGTTGTCCTTAACTTCAACGACAATAAACCAGCCTGGATTGTACCAGTCCTGTGTCCATGTTGTACTGAAGAAGAAAACTAACTTCATAACCTGTCCATGTTCAAAGGAGAGTTCAGCATAAATACAGCAAGAAATTGTGTCTGTTGGTTGAAAAAGTTGTTTGCTTCCTTTTAAAAATGTTTACTCTTCTAAACTGTACTGTATATCCTGTTGATGAGATATGCTTGAGAAGTTAAAAAAATCACTATTGAAATTGTAATTACACTTTTTTTTTTTTAATTTTTTTTTTTTTAAATCTTACCTAGTCTGGAGGGGGGAAGGAAAAAAAACCCAAACAGAAAAGGTGGCGTGTTTTTGGAACACTTGGAGTTGGCAATAAATGGTCTCCTGTGAACCAAATCACAAAACTGTTGCCTTTGGTGAGCAGAAACAATATGAGTTTTTTCCAAGAGTCACTCAGCTGAGGCTTAGAGCTTGCCAGAATGCAAGTGCAAAATGAGATTCTACTTCTGGTATTGAAATTCTCAATGCTATTTAATGTAAGTATGTTTTTGTCACAGTTTGGAATTTTTACGTTATTAATTTCAACCCCTGTTTGGGCTACAGTATTTTTTTTTGTTTTATTTGTTGTGTGAAGTAGTTACAAGAAATACAGGCTAATAGGTAACTTAAGTAAATGTTTAGTATTAGTAAGAATTATATATATATTATATATTTCCATGGAAATTCAATGGTGGTTTTTTGTTTTTGTTTTCTTTAAGAAATCTGCCTTTGGCTTTCTGATCTGGATGTGTTGAGGGAGCATGAGATACTGTTGATCTGACAGTGGTAAATTCAGGCACTGTTAACCTGGAAAACACTTAACTGTGTTCTCCAAATTCCTGCACTGGAAGGGACTGATGGAGCTGGGACCCCCAATACACCATCCCCCACTCCTGCACACGGCTTTCTCAGTGATTGGGAAGGGTGTTGATGCTGTAATTGCCTTTTCTGTGGGGAGCTGTGTGGCAGACACAGTGTGTGTGAGCAGAGAGCATGCAGGAGAGAGCAGCATGTACCTCAGAGTCACTTCAGTCCGTATGCCAGAGCTTCCTGGGCATCATCCAGGATTGGGATCACCCAGAGGGAGGTGATGGAACCGATCTGAGCTTTTATAAACCACAGAAACAAATGTCGGTGTGGCTCCCTACAGAGCAGGGGTGTGTGTGTGTGTGTGTATAGCACTTGGGCATTGACTGTTGGGTTTTTACCCCCGTTCATTCTTTCCTACTGTTCCTCTGCAGACGCTGACAGAAATCAAAATTATCTCCCATCGTGAGAGGTGGTGGCAGAACTGGGGTGCGAACTGTAAGCAAAACTTGGTGTGTTTAAGTTTTCCTTGTGCCTTGTCCATTACAGCTTCACAGGCTCCTGTAGCTTTTACTGGAGGTCTGGGAAAGCAGGGAGATGAAATGCAGGGATGCAGGAGGAGAGCTGTGCCTGAGGATAGTAGTGCCAGCGTGTCTGTTCACAGTTAATCATGGATTAGTCTATTATTTTAAGCAGGCAGCTGCAGTGAGAGATCTTTGCTGCCCAAACAGAAATGTCAGGGAAGGTAAGAAGTAAAACACTCACAAAAACAGAAAGGTTGGGAAATACATCCAGAAATACATCAGAAGGATTCTCTTGTTTTTGAGCTGAAAACTCTGAACCAGTTTGCTGTAATGAAGATGAGTAATCCTTGCTGTAGTGGCACCCTGGCACTGTCATCACCTTCCATCCTTCAGGAGAAGGGGTTGAACTCCCCATTTCTTGGGCTGTCATCCACACCTGGCTCCCATCTTGTCCCAGGAAAGCACTGCAGATGCACCAAGGCAGAGCAGCTCCAGGGTGCTGCTCCAGGGAGCCAGGAAAGCTGTGCCAGGGTGGGCACCAGGTTTGGGGTACCAGAGAATAGAGAGAGCTGAAGCTCGCAAAGCCCATCCCCACCTCCCAGAACAATCCTGCTGTTAAATCCCTTCCCTGTGTTTTTGCTTGCCTGGAGGAGATAAGCAGAATAATAAAGTTTGGATACTGTTAAATACTTTAATAAGAGTAGGTGTTTTGTGCAATGTGCCTTCTAGCCTGTCTTTCTAGTGGTCCTACACTTAGAATCTTTTCGTTGAAGGGATGTTGAGTCCTCCTTTCCCTAAGCAAGAAGGCCTGAGCATTGGTTTGTGCCTATCCAGGATACACAGAGCTGGGAGAATTACACTTCATCCTGCAAGATCCCATCACCTCACCATCCAGGAAAACAAACTGAATTAATTTTTCCTGGGGGGTTTATATATTTATAAATATTTGTGTATTTATATGTATTTCTGTGTATATTGGTAGAATCATAGAGTGGTTTGGGTTAGAAGGGCTGTGTGTCCCACTGCCTGGTTTGTCCATTTGGGAGGGCTTTCTGGGAAATGTGAGTGGTAAAGAGCAGTTGAGTCTCCCCAGGGAGCACTGAAGGGGGCTGGAGTGGTCTAGAGATGTCAGGGATGGTAGAGACCAGTGGTAGGGTTGGGGGTCCCATCCTATGTGCTGCCCAGTCTCCCACCAAGGGATCTGCCCCCCACTCCTGGATGCTGCCAAAGGGGTGGACCCCTGACCTGCCCACCCACAACTGGGGACCGCCCTCTAGGGATCCCCAGGGATCCTGTCACCTCAGGGGTAGCCCTTCCATCCCCCTCCCTGGGACCCCCAGTGCCCACAGGGTGGGGGTCAACACTTGGGGTGATCTCTGGGCGTTAAGGGGGGGGGTCTTTGACCTCAGCCTTCATGGAATGGGTGAGAGCTGAGGATTTGCACCAGAGACAGGCACCTGGGTTATATAGGTACTTATTTATTTAGGTAGGAAAAGCACCTTATTCCCACTCCTCATTAGCCCCCGGGTATTGCCATGGCCACCACTAGTGCCACCAACTCCCAGCACTCACTTTCACCCACTGCTGCCTGTCATCCATGCAAAACCCACCCCATGCAGGCCTTGTCCTGGTGCTGGGGGAAAGGATGCCTTTCCAAGTGTGGGGAACCAAAAAAAAAAGGGACAAAAAGAGGAAGGTGTGGAGGCTTCGCTGCACCCAGACCTGCCGGCCTCGCGGTTACACGTCAATGCTGCGCCAGCACTGCAGGAACAGCAGGATTTCAACTCCCCACACACCCTTTTTCCTTGTACAATTTTTTTTTTTTCTTTAAAAATTCTCCTCTCTTGGCACACGACGGTGGGGGTTGCCAGGGAGGAAGCAGTTGGGCCAGGCGGAGCAGAGCTGCAGCAGTGCTGATGCCCGGGGTCAGTGGTGCTCCCTGGTATCCCAGGAGGACTCCCAGCTGCCTGGGCAGTTTGTGACAGCCTCGCTGGCCCCCGGAATCCCATTTTGCCCAACAACCCTGACGTAAATGATGCATTCATTGGGGAACTGCCGGGGGTGTAGCGAGGGGGTACCAGTGAAGAGGAGCAGTAGCGGTGCTGTCTCTACTTCCAGCGCTTGGTACCCTCCGTGATGCTCCTCCGCCAGGGTCTTCCCAAAAAGCCAGGCACGTTCCAGAGGAGATCCCCCCGCGTCCCTCCCCTCTACCGGCCGCGGGGCGTTCTCTACACGATGCCCTCGCTGCGTTTGCTCCTCCACACCACCAGGGCGGTCATGAGCAGGGTGACGAGCACGGGCAGCAGGATGAAGGGGCACAGGACGGCGTTTGGGGGGTCGTGCAGCGCCCGCCCGGACGGGGAGCAGTTCCTGAAGTACTGTCTGTGCACAGCCACGAAGAACTCGTCCACCTGCCGGTTGGGCCAGTAGCAGTCGAGCCTCTCGGCGATCAGCACCGTGCAGTTGGTCAGCTCCCCATACGTGCTGCAACACAGGCAAGGGCACCGCGTGGGACCGGGGACCAGCACCCGGACACGGGCACGCCACCTCCCCCCACACCCCAAAATGTACTGTATACTTTATATAAAATATTATATAGATAGTATATAGCACATCATATGTATTTTATATTACATAGTATGTATTATATATTATGTATTATATAATGTTCCTTTTATTAGATAATATTCTTATTCAATAATATATTACTGTGTAATATAATATACATAATATATAATATTCATATTATCATATATTTTATTTATATTATATAATATATATGCTATTATATGTTATATATTATATGCTATATATATATATGTTAGATAATAATACATGATTATAATAACTATATATATAGACAATATATTACATGATTTACCTTATAATGTATAATATAAAAATCTCTACAATACATAATATACACTATACAATATGTATATAAAGTAATAAAATGTATATACTATATGATTATGTAACATATAAAGGCCATATAATATATCCCTCCTTGTGCAATATATTATATACTTTCTATCACAGAGGTGTGTACTTCCTATTTGAGATTGTATTTGAGTTTTTACTTATTACATTTTTTTAGCAATTTTTTTGAGGTTGTAGCTAGACAGATATATCTGACCCTATAAAAACATGTAGTGTTTTTTTTTAAAAATTTATATAACCCATATAAAACTATATGGGGTTTTGATTTTTTTACCTAGAAGGGTATAAAGATATATGGATTTTTTTTTTTAACATTCCCATCAGGTTTTTGCCACTTTGATGGCACTTCTGAGTGCTCACCCACAGCCAAAAGCACAAGTGGCTTTTCATTTAAAAAAGGACATGAAAACAGAAATAATATTTACAGAAACAACAAGTTTGGGGTGGTTTTGTTTGGTTTGTGTTAATTTTTAAGGGATTTCATGGTTGAACTAGTGCTACTAAAAAATAAAGGATGGACCCACATTTTAAGCAAAGACCTTCTGGAAACCTATGGCAGCTTGTCTGGCTGCCAGCCTTTAGAGCACCATCCTCCAGCTGGTGTGGATTCATCCAAAGGGGGACAGAAATAAGTAAGTACACCAAATCTACTTAAATTTCTCCTTTTAATTGCCTGAAAGTGAGAAGATTGCATAGGAACCAACTGCCTGCTTTGAAGCACTGTCCCTG